CTGCCCCATGTCAGCTAAGGGTAGATGAAACTTGTGCCAGTCTGTATGTCTCAGAAGGGAGCCTCGTACCCGATCCTTCTGCATCCACCCTGTGCCCTCACTGCTCACCCAGCTGCTCTGCCCCGAGCTTGTGCGTTCCTGGGACTGAGACCCAGAGGACCATCGGGCAGGGTGGGGGAGCACTGGCCTCGCTGGGTGGCTCTGTGCCATCAGCTGGCTCAGTGCCCTTGAACTGTCCGTAACACTCCCCCCCCGCCCAGCCTCCTACTGAGGTCTGGCTTTTGAGCCGGTCCTGGCTTCTTTCTAGGAAGTCATTCTGGAGTCGTTTATCGACGGTTTCTGACTCTTGCTCTGTCCTGGCACCGCCAGGGGCTGAGGACAGACCAGGCTGACATGGCCCCTGACCACATGGAGCTGCCTGTTGGTCTGGGGGAGATGAATGATTCCAACCACCAGCTATGCAAGTGATCAGCACCATGACAACGTACGCCTCAAACAGTGACGCGGTGGGTTGGGGCCACAGAGGCAGCTGCTGCCCACCCTCCCGGGAGCAGGGCCGACAGCACAGCAGGCTTTGGGGGAGGCAGCACCTCAACCGAGACCTGCAGGAGGTGTGGTGAGGGGAGGAGGGGACATTTCAGCAGAGTTGGAGTGTGGAGCTGCCCTGAGGTGAGGAGGGGGAAAACAGGCCATGCGAGGAGCAGGGCAAGGGCAGAGGGGCCTTGAGAGCCGAGGTGGGCAGGGGGGAGGCTGCGCGGCCCCCAAGTCCCTGCCTAGCCCTGCAGATGTAAAAGCGCTAGGCAAGGCTGTGCCAGCCGACACCTGAAGGGGCAGGAAGCAAGTGGCTTCTGTGTCCTCAGAGGCCAGGCGAACCTGGCCAGCAAGGTGAGGTCACCTCCAGCAGGAGCAGGCGCCGCCAGGGCTCCAGCCTTCTGTCCTCCCCACCCAGACCTTCTCCGCAGCTGGCAATCTAGGCCCGAAAACAATGCGGAGAATCTCCGGCCAGGCCTGTGGTATGGACAGGCTTCTATTTATAACGACGGAGCAACTGCCGCCTCAGTGGGTCTGTGGCCTGACCTCCGGTAGGACAAGCCTCAAAGCCAGACCCCGGGGGAGCCGGCAAAGGCAGGGCGGATGCGACGCTGAAGGGCAGGAGCAGCTGCTCCCACCTCGAAGGCTCTGACCACCTCGTGAGGCCCTGTAGGCCCCTGTGTAGGGTTGGTGCCAGCGTGAGCTGGACAGACCCTGCCTCTGCCCAGCCTCCCTGTTCAGGCTGCGGTGTAGACAGACCACGATCACAAATACTAACAAGGCTAGAGGCAGCAGAGGAGAGGCCAGAAACCGCACCATGTCAGAGTGTCTGCTGTTTGTGTCCTGGGCCAGTTCATTGTCACAGGGTGGTCGTTGGGGGGACAGGCGCACAGCAGTGTCCCTGGCACAAGCAAGCAGCATGTCTTCTGAAATGAATGGGTATCCTGAAGAACTGGGACATCCAGTGGTAGCCAGCCCCAGCCCGGCAGGAGCAGGAGGGAAGCCCAGCCCAGCCTGTGCTGCCCTGTACTCACTCCCTTGTGTGACGTGGGCAAATGGCTTCCTTTTGGGCCCATTTTCTCATCTGAAATATGTGGGTTACAGCAGCTAACTCACAGGGTAAAATGTGAAAATGTTGGTGAAGTACCTAGGAGAGACAGTACCTGGCACATCGTAAGCATTCAACTTATTTAACTATTATAATCAAATTACAAAAAAAGGAATGCCACGTTAGAAACTCAACTTGCAGGAAGCAAGCTCTCTTGCTGTCCAATGAAAACAATGAAGTACTTTCTAGGACTTGATGCCAAGGAGAAAGGTTCCGTGGTACAAATATTTGGGAAGTGGCAAGGCTATTTTATCTTACTGATTTACAAAGCAAATTTGCATATTAAAGGTTCAAAAAAGTCCTGTAATGATCAGATCTGCTCAGTCCATTCTTTTCCTAAACTTACTCGGCCAGGGAACCCTTTCTGTTTTGGTGGAGTTCTAGCTTCTGAAAGCAGCATTAGTTTGGGGGCTGACACAATCTCAACCCAATGGCTTCTTTCCCCACAAAAAAGTGAAGGGTGGTGAGGAGACAGGAGGAGGAGATGCGCCTCCCTGCCTGCGTGCTCAACGTCAGGTCTTCTGTTAGGACCAATGAGCTGATGAAATGGGAGGAAAAGACAAGACTGAGAGTCTGCCTCAGAGGATGCTGGGGGCACCCCTCTCCTATTATGCATTATTTTGATATAAACGACTAAGCAGCAGGCCAGGAACCAATGGGGCTGCTGTCAGGACGAGGGCAGGAAGGGCTTTCCTCCTGTCAGTCCGGTACTTCACAGAGGAGGGCTCAGAAGTGTCTGACTGCAAGGTGGTGACTAGGCCCACTCATGCTTTCATAGTTTTTCTTTTTTTTGAGCAGGTGCCCAGAAAACAGCTTAAATTTAAACTCATGTCTCTTTTCAGCAATTTCAGACAAAATCCCTTCCCCTGGATTAACTGGAAAATAAAGATGTCCACGGAGGTATCTATTTTTCAGATGCCCCCTGGGTGTCAGGGGTATTTATGGTTATTGCCATTAAAGGGTTTCTCTGCATGGGGCCTACAGACCACGTGCCCTGGACACACCTGCTTGTTAAAAACACAGATTTAGCCGGGTGCGGTGGCTCACACCTGTAATCCTAGCACTCTGGGAGGCCGAGGTGGGCGGATTGCTCGAGGTCAGGAGTTCGAAACCAGCCTGAGCAAGAGCGAGACCCCGTCTCTACTATAAATAGAAAGAAATTAAGTGGCCAACTAATATATATAGAAAAAATTAGCCGGGCATGGTGGCGCATGCCTGTAGTCCCAGCTACTTGGGAGGCTGAGGCAGGAGGATTGCTTGAGCCCAGGAGTTTGAGGTTGCTGTGAGCTAGGCTGACGCCACGGCACTCTAGTCCGGGCAACAGAGTGGGACCCTAGCTCAAAACAAAACAAAACAAAAAACAAATAAAGTCATGACTAAGAACTGCTTTTGTGCCAAGTGCTCTGCAAGTATCATCTCATTTAAACCAAGGCACCACCCAGCCAGACAGGTATTCTAATTTCCACTTTAGAACCAAGGGGAAAAAACTCTCAAGGCCAATTGCCTTGTTCTGGTTACACAGCCAGTGAGGGCTAAGGTCAGGTCAGCTTGCATGGTCTACTCCCTTTCCATAATGTTGGAGACCTGACCTAGAAACTTCTCTGGAAGCTGTCAGACGGACAAAGCAAAGCCCAAGCAAGCCCCAGAACACTCACAGGGAGACAGCAGAGCTGAGGGGACACCAGCACAGCCCCGTCGACGTGCAGGGGGACTTGTGCTTTCGCGAGATGAGAGGCCAGGTTTGTGGGCATCACTGTGTAACGGGAGTTTCACCTGAAACCCAACTTGTGGCCTGTATCGCCACTGTGCTGCCATCTGAAGCACCAATTATGAGCATACGGCATTTACATCTGGAAAGGCCAAGGAAAACACAACCTAGCTTATTAAATCTGCCTTCCCCCTTTCCTTCCTGACTGTCCTTGGTTACGCAAAGCAGAAACAGAAACTACGTGACTGGGACTGCCTGTGTGCCTGCTGCTCCAGAGTGGTGTGGCCAGCCTCCTGGCTCTACAGAGCAGTGTGCACCCTTCTTCTCACTGGGACACGGTCCCCACACTCTTAATTGGGCTCTTTGCCTGTCCCAGCTCCTCCCTGGGCAGTCCTAGTCCGATGTCCCAGCTGCTTGGGCTTCAGGGGATACAGGCTGCCGGAGCTGAGCTGACCCCTGCCACCTAACACGGCAATCAACCCCAAAAAAGGAACTCTGAGGGGCTCACGTGTCAGCAGCACATTCCTCAGGGGCCTCCGCCCCAGCAGCAAGTGGTAGCGTCGTTATCTGGCCAAGCACAGCTGATATGGCCTTATGGAGAGATGTCACATGTCACCTCAATGGAGGATTAGGGCAAAGAATTTGAGGTTAAGGGTTAGGCTGAATTAGTTTCTATTTATAAAAAGGAGTGTCCCAGGGAGACAGAAGGTAGGGAGGACCAGCCCATGGCCTGGGTGCTGGTTGGCAGGATGACACACCCAGGGCCCATGTTACCTCCAGCTGCATCACTCCTTTCACACTACCAGGCGTCCTCAAACTACAGCCCGCCGAGGACATTTATCCAGCCCTCCGGGTATTTTTGCCGCTGCCGCCTGTCCCGCTTAGCAGCCGACTCATCCCAGGACCACAGTACGCACGTGTGGAATGTGCACCACACTCTTCAACGGCCCTCCAACAGTCTGAGGGACAGTGAACTGGCCCCATTTAAAAAGTTTGATGACCCCTGCACTAGACCCTCTGCTGTGAGCTTTTCCCATCAGGATTTGAGTCCTTTTGTCTTAAGACAGCCTCTACGTGCAAAGAGCCCATGTGGGAGAAACAAGCCCTGTGACTGTCTGTCAATGCCCTGGGGACCATCCCCTGCTTCATGTCTGAGGGTGTCTCCTGTGAGGTCAGAGTAGAAAAGGTAGAAGACTCTTCAATCCTGTAAGGATCAAAAAGCGTATACATTAAATTTTTAAAGTCCCACTTCTTCGCAAGAGGCGAAGAACCCCTAATTAATGGAAGGCACAGACGGTCCCTCCCTCTTCTCTCATAAACCACACAGGGCAGGATGACAGTCACCCGTGGATCCAGTTGCAGCTCTTGGCTCTGCTGACAGCTGGTTTAGGGAGAACCCAGTAGTGCAATACTAAGAGATTCCTCTTCTCATGAGCTTAAGAAACCATAAAATACAAAACCAAGTGGGCATCCAGCCTCGATTTCAATGCTACTGAGTCAGAACCTCCAGGATGGAGGCTGTGAATCTGTACTCTACAAAAATTCCGCAGGTGAGGCTGAGGCACAGGCAGTGGAGACATTGCTGCGGCCCACCCTCCCCAAACAAGCCAACAGAACCAAGAAGGTCATACTGGCTATAACATGACAAATCAGTATTATATGTCAAACTTTTATTAAAACATTTTAAAATTCAACTTGCCAATATTTAAAACTCTAAAAAATGGTTCCTTTTCAATGCTCCCTGCTAATGACCTGAGCCAAGGCACTGTCATAGTTTGGGCCTGAAAGATAGATTCTTACACCTGCTTCTGATGTGAGGTGGTCCTTGTTTGACAGCAATTATCATAGGCCTAAGAAATAAAATATGCCCAGGCCTATTTTATTTAATGCAGAAATACTGCATTAAAGAGAAATAAGCACTTTAATGAAACTGAAATTATGATCTCTAGGCAATGCTAGCAAGTACTGTTGCCAAGCCCAGCGTCGTCCTGCTAGTGGTGTCTGGCAGGAGCAGTGTCTCTGCAGCTACTGGGTCTACCCAAGGGCCGTCTGCACCATGGTTAACAGACGTGGGTAGGGACGGCTACCAACATCACTGCCACATAGTGGAAATAAAAGCCGTCTTCAGTCACCTGCCACCTCTAGGGTAGGACACCCAGCACCCAAAAGGACATCGAGATGAGTTGACAAGGCCATTCAAAGGGCAGCACACTGTCGACAGCACTCGGGTGACATCATACTGGTCCGTTCGCCAGGCCTGCCTCCTGGCTGACTGTGGCCATACTGGAAGGTGCTACCACCTTCTGACACTTCGCTGGTGCCTGCACGAGTGCCTGTGCCCCGCCCAGGCACAGAGTGGGCCCTCTGAGGGGCCTGATACACAACAGAAAAAAGGACAAGTTACGCCCTCAAGAAGCGGCACACCAGCTTTCTTCCTCTTCCCTACATGGAGGGCTCTAGGTCCAAGCAAGACCAGGGCTGATTCTATGCCCTATTTTTCATCGATACCCAATGCTGGTTTCTTTTGATGCCATCGTTGAAGACACACTGCTGGCCAATGGAGGCTCTGCTGGTTTCTTAAAGCCACAGAAATGGGGAAACTTCTCTCCTTGGCTGTGACCTGAAAAAGCACAAATACATTCTGTACGGAAACAGACCAAACAGTTTAATAGCAGGGGTAAAACCCAACATGAAATATAAAGCAAAACAAAACAAGCAATCAAGCATCTCTTGAGTTTTGATTTCTGTTGTTTTTTTCTGGGTATGTGCGTTTCAGTGAGAAAGTCCATTTTAACAGACTGCTCCAGTGTTTCTCGGTGAAGAGGAGCTGAGAATGCAGTTCTCACAGGAACCGAAAGGACTGCTGACACCCACTCAGCTTCTCCAGCCACCAAAGCCCTGGACAGACCTGCAAGGAAGCACCAGAAGAGAGGCGGAGTCAGCTCCTGCTCTTGCTGCAGAAGGGCTTCGGTGCCTGTGCACAGAAGTCAGGACTCTGAGTTTTAAACTTCTTGAAACTCTATACAGAAGCACAGAGGGAAGATCAACACACAAGACTCTGTGAGGGGCCTGGGGCCCCGTGGTCAGCGTGACGCTTTTGAGACACTAACAGGGAAATAAGGAACAGCAGCTCCTAAGCCGCACCTTCTAGTCCCACACTCACTGGCGGGCACAGTCTTCTGAGCCACACCCTTTAAGAAGGTAAGGCCTGGCACCTCCCGCCATATTCCTACAGAGACTAGCAAGTCCACAAAACCTGCTGTGAACCCCCATGCTTCTAGGACAAGCCCTAAAAATAGGAAAAATGGAAACAAAATGCACAAATCCAGCAAGAATTAGTATTTCAATAGTTTTTACATGCCACACACCCTTCTAGACTTATTCAATGCTTTTAATTAAAATTGGACACAAAGAGGGAGAAAGATACTTACGAGTTATTTGATCCAAAGCTGAATCCTGAAAGGCAGATGAAAAAGGCAGAGTTAAAGCATATACATGTGAATGACAGAGGCCTCTGGGCTCAGCTCTTTCCTTCCCTCACTTCCCAAGGAAAGCCCTCTTCTCCCCCGCCAGCTGCCGGAAGGGCAGGAAGGCACGCACTGAAGCTCCTCTGCAGCTACTCAGATCCATCAAGAGAAAGCAGGGGAAATCTTGTATTTTGTATGCATTGTCCTCTTGGCATTTTAGGGTTCTTCTCTCCTCCTGTCCCCGGCTATAGGCAAAGGGTTTCTGGCATGGCCCCTCTCACGTAGCTGCACTGGACCATACAGATCCATTTCATTAGGAAAACTTGTTTTTTTCCCTCTATTTTTCCCATTCATCTTGCTCTCTCTTCTTTTTGGCAGCCAGAGAAACAAGACACTTGGGTTCTAGGCCTGGTTCTGCTGCAAACCGTACGACTCTGGGCAAGGCACTCCTTGGAGTTTCTGTTTCTTTATTTGGAAAACAGTAAAGATGCCTAAATTCTGTGTCTCATAAGTTTGTTGCAAGAACAAGATGGAACATACGTACTCTGCTATCTGAAGAACCAGAGTGTTAAGCAAATGCAAGATATTTTGGGAAGTTTTTACATATTTTTTGAGTCTGCTGGCTTGGATTTTCAAACCAAGGCCCAGTCAAGACCATTATTTGGGCTTCTCAAATCAAGTCAATGCTTTGTCTGGTAAGAAACTGGTACAAAGTTGCAAGTCTAACTAAAACCTAAAAACATTTTATTTTTCAACCACTGTCAGCTTTTAAAATATTAAACTGAATTGGTAAAACACATTCATTGTTTTGGGGGAGAAGGCATTTAGAGGAGAAGGCAGGAGGGCCCACTGTGCTTGTGGAAGATGCGTGGCCACCTACCTCCTGTGCCTGATCCAAAACCAGAGAATCCGCTGCTCTGGGTCCCGAAACCAGACGTCTGTTGGGACAGTGATCCAAAAGTAGGAGCATTTTGACTCGCGAGGGTGCCAAAGGATGTGGTGTTGCTGCTGCTCCCAAACCTGGGTTCCAGTGAGAAATGGACTGTGGTTAGTGGGGCCTCTCGTCACTCCACTGCCTGCAAGCCTCAGTCTGCTGTTATAAGTCTTGACATGCATGACACGTGATTCAAGGTGACAGGCTAGGCCTAAGCTAGCAGTCTCTCAGAAAGAACGGGTTATAGCCCAAAGCAAACCTTTGTCTCAGCTCAGAGAAGAAAAATAACAGGAAAACAAAATGAAATCCAATTTATCCAGTGTTTTAGTTTTGTCCACTGTCTGGAAATGCCAGGTCACCTGGCAGCCAAGCTGCAGAGGCTTCCTGCTCCACCTCTAAAAAGCCTTTAGGTCTATCCCGTCGTTCTGGCACTTCTCTATTATCCACCCCCCATTTATTCATCTTCAGCTCCTCTAGGGATCTTGATTCTATTGACCTTTCACCATGAGGTAAAGATCCTGTACACACAAACATCACCATTCTATTTACACTGGGCAGGGGCAGTTTCCACCATGATTTCATTCAGAATTTTGTGTTTGTTTCCTGCATCAATAAACACTATTTGAAACAATGTAAAAATGGCTACTATTTTCTCTCCCTTGTTCCCCCAACCTGGGGACAATCCCTGGGTAACTTCATTCAGTTTTCCCTCCAGATTTGGTCCAGCAAATGAGGCTGAGTGACATATCATAGCCCCCCTGAATCGTTCTCAGAGGAACTGGCTGGGCTAGGGAGAGCCTCTAGGATCTGAGCATGACTGCGAAGGCATATAGATCAGTGTTTTTTGGGAGGGGGACAGCACCTGGGTTAAGAGACCACCCCAAAGAAAGAAAAGTGCGTTAAGCAGGTTCCTTCTCTTTCTGCCTACTCATTTTTTCTTTTCATTACTTCAAGTCATATGGGATTTCTGTCTACTCTTAAGGATACGGTAAAGGGTCTTTTACATACGAGGAGGGCCGGGGCCTGCTCCCATTGGTCTCCCCCAGGAGTGGTCGGCTCTCCTCCTGCTCCTGCCTTACCCTCCCATCTACAACAGCGGCACCCTTCACAGAGGCCTGCCAGGGTCAGAGATAGGCTCGTGGGCAGGGACCTGAAAAAAGGTAATAGGCTCTTTCTGAGATACAATACCTGACCTGATGCTTGTTAGCCCTGTTCTCGAAAATGGAACCAACCAGCCAGTCAGGATTTATGTAGGAGAGCCACCCAAAGGCAGAATCTGATACTTTCCTACTAGTGAAGAAAACAGCTGGTTTCAAGTTAATAAATATCTCACTATTCCCAGTCAACCAAACCTTCCACCAACTCTGCAGTACTATGTGCTAGCTGGGCTGTCAGTGCAGAGACAGGTGCCCATCAACAGCAACAAGAATACTAGTTTAAGTTGGTTCCTAACTCTGCTTTCTAAGCTTCTCTTATTAACTTTAATTCTTGAGGTTTCCTGAGGGGAAAGAAACTTAAATGGCCCATTAGTCTCTACATGAAATACAAGAAACAACATACCAGCAGCTGGCTCACTTTCCTTGAAAATTTCCAGCATCTTTCATGAAGGGAAAAGTATGAATAAGAACATACTTTATTTTCAAGACAAAGATGCTGTCATCTTGCCAAGACTACGATCTCAAATAATCTAGAATCCTCCAACACAAAATCATCTCCTTCACCCCAGACTGTCAGCTCTATACGTCCTGAGCCCAGCAGCAAGGTTAAGAGTCACTTTGAGGCATTAATACCTCCTTTGAACGAGAGACTTTGTAGTCATCACCACATACATTTTATTGGGATTTTGTGGTGGCAAAGGCTATTTTTCCTTGGGGTTTTGGCAACAGACTGAAGTCCTGTCCTTAAAAGCAACTCCCTAGCATGGCACTGTCAAGCAAGGATGTGAACAGGTAGTACATGCAACTTCAACAGCTGTGTGACCGTCAAGACTCTCCCCACGTGGAGGCTCCCAGTTAGGGCCCAGTGCCCCAGCTGCCCCGGGACTGTGGGACTGAATACCCACTCTGGGGGGCTGAAGGGGGGCAGGGGACACAGGAGTTGTTTGCTCAAGGACAACGGGTCTACTGTAAAACAATACCAAGAGGAAAAAATGGTAAAAACTACTCATTTAGAACTTCCTAAGAGAAGTCAGCACATGGGCAGTCTTGGCGATTCTCCTTCCTTTAACCCCACCAGGAGAACAGTTCTGATGACCAGGACTCTACACGGCAGGGGACAGCAACACAGCAGAAGTCCACCCATGTATTCAACAGAGCCCGGCGTGGAAGAAACAAGCCTCATCCTTCAGAGGAGCAGGACTCCTCAAGGGCCTTGTCTGCCAATTTCAAGGGAGGGGCTTTCAGCGCATGGCCAAGAGTTTGGAAAATGTAAGAACATTCTTTTCAGAACAAGAGTACTGGGCCCCAGGGCTTTTGGCTGGCACAAACTGGTGGGTTTCCACAGGTCCCTCCTCGGGGGCTTACCCGAATCCTCCTGCGCTGGCAGCTGCAGTTCCCTCTCCGAACACTTTGCCTCCCGTCGAGCCCAGAGGGCTTGTAAAGGCTGGGGCTGAACCGAATGCTGGCACCCCTCCAAACCCAGGGGATCCCCCAAAAGTAGGAGGGCTGCCAAACACTGGAGCAGCACCGAAGCCACCTGAGCAAAACAGAGGCAAGCAAACAGAAACGGGGAGAAAGGAAGGAGGAGACAGCAAGAGGAGACATTGAGCATGAGAAACCAAATCAAAGCAGGAAGGAAAAAAGGGAAAATAGGATGTTAGAAATTCAAATGCAAAGAACTGTAATAAAGGGCAACAACCCTTCCATCAACAAAATAATAATTAAAACTAAAACAAAACAAAAACCTCCCAAACTAAACCATTCCCCTCCATTTACAGCAGAGGGCTGTGGGGTCCACTCCAGAGAGCCCCCCGGGCCCTGTGTTTGAGAGATGCCCAAACCCTTCAATGAGGCAGGCTGGGCTCACCAGACCACCACTGAGTACCCACCAGGCCCTCTGAGCTGTTCTGAGACTCCTCCCTGAAAAACTGTCCTCAAAATCTCCAATCCCTACCCAGCTGTCAAAAGATGACAGGTATCATTACTTATCAGCACACAGGCAAGCCATCTAGTTTCACAGAAACCCAAATTATAAAATCAGAGGCTCAAACCCCCTCTCAGGGAGAATCCCTGAATTGGGTCACGGCAGAGACAGAGATGTGCACACTGGCACCAAGCCAGGTGCTTTTTATTTATTTACAGCCTGAAGGCTTGCACATCTCTCACCAGAGTCCCTCTCTCGGTACAGAAGAATTTAAAAAAGTGCTTTCTTTCTGCAGTCTAGAACTACTTCTCAATAAAAAGTATACCAGATTTCTTCTTTAGAGGAAGGCTGCTGTATAAATCTAGTAAAATAAGGAGTCAGCCGTGAGGACAGCTTCAGAGTCCAGACGCCCTCTGTGAGCTGCCGGCACAGCAGCTCAGTGGGCCCTGGCTGGCTGGAGGGCAGCGCACGTGCGGGTGGCCACGCAAAGGGTCAGGCCATGCATGAGGCAGCCCCCTCTGCTGGGTGGCGATGCCCATCAGGCGGGAGACAAAACATCCTCCCCTGAGCTATTTCTCCTGCTCCTGACAGGGTTCCCAAACCCTCTAGAGATGGGGAACTGATGGCCTTCTAGATCCTTGAGTACAGCCTCTCGACTGAATTCAAATTTTACAGAACTAATCCTTTCAAGTTTGGATTTGGCTGAGAGGCCACACTTGCAGATCTGGAGGGCCATGTGTGGCCTTGAGGCTGCAGGTTCCCCACCTGAGCGTGAATGGAATAAAATGGAATAAGAAATGCGTCTATAGGGGACCACCCTCTACAGGGAGTACTTCTTAAAATGAGCACTGGCCTATGAACTACATGCTAAAGGCAGTGGGGTGGCCTAGTAACAACTAGGGAGATGAGCAGCCCAAGAAGACAGGAACATTATTCTCTTCCCTTTCAGAAAATGGATCTGCCATTGGAGGGATGAATCTGGCCTTCTTATAAACATGATCACACCACAAGCTACCTGCACTGGCAAAAAGCAAATACTGGTATGAAAAGATATCAGCTGAATTCTTTAGTTAACAGTTATTTTGTGATTCAATTATGTGCTTATTTACCATTTCATATTGGTTGCACAACAGAGAAGATACTTTTTGCTAAGGCTCATGTTTGGGTTAACATTTTGCATTTTATAACCTTGAGTAAAATTCCAAGTCACCATAATGGAGACAGTCGAGCTACAAATACGACAGACTGGGAAAAAAGTGCTAAAATACGCTTAGATCAAATACTGCGTATGGAAAGCTGCCAGCTGAATTCCTTCGTTAACTGTTATTTCATGATTCAATTATGTGCTTATTTACCATTTCGTAGTGGTTGCACAACAGAGAAGGTACTTTTTGCTAAGGCTCCTGTTTGGGTTAACATTCTGCATTTTAAAACCTTGAGTGAAATTCCAAGCCATGATAATGGAGATTGTTGGGTTACAAATATAACAGACTGGAAAAAAAAAGTGCTAAAAAACCCTTGCAGTTGAATTATTTAAGACTGATCACAGATCTAGTTACACTTTCTTCCTAGACACAGGGGTTTATCTAGTGCCTTGTATTCAATACTGTTTAGACTTCTTCGTGGAAGGTTGAGTGAAAAATGAGAAGTCACAATGATACAGAAAATTAACTGGACAGGGGAGGGGAAGAGATTAACACCCCCCAGCCACCACCTCCCAACACACAGAAAATGCCCCCAAACCACCTAGGCCATAGGCAAATGCAGTAAGAAAAGAATAGTCACTCTGGTCTTATCTTTGGAGACAAGCAACTCATTCCTGATGGTGGGAGGGGTCCAATTTTATTAGTTGCCATGTTTGCATGCTTTTCTTCTCCAGAAGAAACATAAATTTACTAATAATCAATAATAATAAAATTTCTGATTTACTGAGGGCCCACTATGTGCCAGGTGCTTTGTAATAGTTCTCATTAATCCTCCAAATAAGCCTGAGGTCATTATTTCATAGGTCAGGGAACACAGGCTCACAGAATAAGTCTAATCTTAGCCAGTTGCTGTTGCTAGAGCTGTAACTGGAATAAGGTCTGTGTGACTCAAAAGCCCACCACTCATCTCCCCATCATTCGTCCCCCTGCCTCCCTCCACGTCACTAAATCTAACACACTTCCAGAGACAGAGTAGAGGTGCAGACCCAGTTGGCGCAGGAGGGCAGTAAAGGCAATTTCAGCCAGTCCCACCCTCCAGCAGCTCCTCAGATAATCTCCAGCAGTATTATTTTCTAACGCAATTTTACTAAAGGGAGGATGGACACTTGTGGAATGTTTCAAAGACTCATGCAAACCATCAACATAAAATCCCTCTCAAAGCAGGAAGAGATAATCCTGATGCCTTCGGCATCTGCACTGCTCAGGCAGAAAGGCAACTCCTCTACAGTGGCCTTTGCTGCTGCTTAGTACTTTAAGGCACCTCCTTTGACAGGAGCTCTCCAGAACCAGTGCAAGCTCTGTAACACGAGGGGGAGTGCTTTCCTCTCCCTTCACTTTAACGTTTCTGGTTACCAATTCATTCATCTCATGTATTTGAAAGGTAGTTTCTCTGTTAGAGTCCTCAATGTAAGTGGTCTCATGGGGCAAATAATCAAAAGGAAAAATACTCTGAAAAGTGGGAGGATATATTTTCTCTAAGGTGGAAAAAAATAAAAGGGTAAGATTCTTTTTTTTTATTTTTTAGAGACACAGTCTCGCTTTGCTGCCCAGGCTACAGTGAGTGCCGTGGCGTCAGCCTAGCTCACAGTAATCTCAAACTCCTGGGCTCAAGCAATCCTCCTGCCTCAGCCTCCCGAGTGGCTGGGACTACAGGCATGCGCCACCATGCCTGGCTAATTTTTTCTATATATATTAGTTGGCCAATTAATTTCTTTCTATTTATAGTAGAGACAGAGGTCTCACTCTTGCTCAGGCTGGTTTCGAACTCCTGACCTCGAGCGATCTGCCTGCCTTGGCCTCCCAGAGTGCTAGGATTACAGGCTGAGCCACCGTGCCCGGCCAAGGGTCAGATTCTTAAATCAACTGAGACTTGATCCCAGGATAAGGATCCACATAAGAAAAACCTAAGAGTCAAATAAAACATTATCAGGCTCCTAAAACAAAAAGTCTTGATGATTAATTAACGAAAATTTCTCAGTCAAATATTTGTATTTGTGTGTATATGGCCAAAAGATCTCAGCGACAAGGACAGGGTAGAGGGGCAGCTGACAAAAATGAAGCACATGTCTTCAGATCTAAATATACATTGTTCTTATAAAATTTTTAATTGTGAAAATATATAATTATAAAAAGCATAGTTTATAAATGTATACTTTAATAGTAATGCTAAGATAAAAAGTAGTGCTGGTAATGGTCTTTTTTCTCAGTTACATGGTGTGTTCCAACTGTGAACATTAGTTGAGCTATATGCTTCTGATATGTGGACACTATGTGTGTATATGTATGTGTGTTATACTTTAATTTAAAGTTAAAAAAGTGATTTGGGAAAGAGGACAAAATGATTTACACATAAAAAATTAAACAGATTATCTGTCTTGACTGTCATAGGTAATGGGTACCCAACAAATCTGTGACTCAGGATACTTTCTTGTTCATATTTTAGTTATTTTCTTGTGTGTTCCTTTCCTGTGGCTCTTCTGCAATTAAATATTTGCAATGCTTTCTTCCCCAGGAAGACTGCTCTGTGAAGGGTTGCATTATGGAACAGCATTAGGAATGCAGTAGCTGCTCAATAAATATAACTGGAGGAAAGAGTAGCTTCATCCATTCTCCAACCCTACTCTTTTGAGAAAACCACTCTGGAAATAGACTCTTCCCAGATATATATGCATAAATAAATATAAATATACAAATAACCATAACTAATATGTATAGGAGTACCTGTTTTATTTGGAGAGGAAAATCCAAAGCCTTGAGACGCCACACTTCCTCCTCCAGAGCTGAAAGTGCCAGTGGGTTTCTGCTCTCCAAATGACGAGCTGGCGAATCCACCAAATGTCTTGGCCCCGCTGTTTCCGAATAGGTTAGAGGTATCTGAAAGGATGAAGACAGTGTGAGGGAGATCAGAGGGAGAGGAATGTCCTTATTTACTTCTCAGAACAGAGAAGGAAGAAATCTGTTGTGTGTTCGAGGGGACAGGAGTGACAAGAAGCCTAGGACCCAAGGGAGTTGAGCTGTAGAGCAACAGATACTTTCTCTGATTTTCAAGCAACTTGATAACGAGTTTTTAATCATTTTGGCACCAGGCTCAGGATTTCCTGGCATAATTCTACAGGCACAAAATAAAGGGGCAGCGAGAAGCCCCGCTGCAGAGGCTCCTCTGTAGGAGCTCATGCCGGTGCTCCCACGGCATCAGGTCCACCTAGCAACGGAGGACCACGGCTCAGCTTCGCCCAGGTCTGTTGCCTTCTGAAGAACAGGGCTCACTTTCACTAGTCTCTTTGCATGAGGAACAACTTCAAATTTTGTCAAACTAGGGAAATTAAAGTTAGAGGAAATCCAAACGAGCATAATGGCTTCTAGCACCTGCTTTCTGCTTTACAGGCAGGTTCGGCACACTTGCTGCCTGAGCTGCTCAGAGAGGCAGATGAAACAGAAAAACCAGGCAGCTCCTAGCTAACCCCCAGAGCAGGGAGGCAGAGAATGTAAATGAGGACAGCATGGCTTCCAGTCTCATTTCCTCTTTCTAAGAGGGTCAATGAAGCCCTTGACCTTTTAGATGCTTATCTAGAGGGTCATTCTCTCCCTCAACTATGCAATGAATCTGCTCCAAGAAATGCAGGAAAAACGGAAGCTCCTAAAAACCAAGATGGGTGAGAATTTTTTTTGGTCTGTTATAAAAAAATGCAAACCTGACAGACAATATATGTAACTAGCTAAAGTCACAGAAGCAGTCAGTCAGATAATACAAACAGCACGCTAAATATCAGGATTTTTAAAAAACTTTTATTGAGAGGGGTGGGGAGAGGAGGAATAATATATGTTCGCACCTTGTCTGGACGGGTGTTTTATTAAAATTAGTTTTTACTCACGACAAGGCAGGGAGAAACTATCCTGATATGGGGTGCATGCTCAATCACACAGGCATAAATAGGAGGCAAAATGTATGCTCCGGGTAATGGAGAGTTGACCATGTCACCAAGTGGGAAGTATAAACATCTGTGGAAGACCATTCTCTCCCCAAGCCAATCAGGCACTCATGGTGAAAGGAGGCGAGTGAAAGGGAACATTCAAAGTCACTCTTCAAAGTTGAACTGTTAGAAGTCATGGTGCCCCACTAACCTGTCCATTCCCCTCGTCTCTCATCCGCTCTGCTACCAACACACCCCAATGGGAGATTCAGCACAGCTAATACTTCTAGTTGCAATGCTTTTGATCCACAATCCACGATGCAAGTGGCCTTACTTCAGGGATTCAGCCACCTCTAACTTCTAGGCACTGGTAACATAATATCAGAGACTCAGCCTACCACATCCTGGTCACTGCTCTATAAAACCACTGCTGACAATTTGAGAGCCTGGCTAAGGACCTGTATGTGCAGCATGTCAGGCACCTGACAGCTGGGGTAGTTAAGAAATCCCTTTATATCACCCTCACATTTGGTACCACAGGATTATCTATCCCCCGGTAGAGCCCACAGAACGCCCTCATGAGCAGTCTGATCTTTCCCTTAACTGGCTAGCCCAGGGTTACATGCGATTCCTTCAAGGGTAGCACATTTGACACTGGAGACAAAAAACAGGCTTCTTAGCCATTCCTTCTGTTTAGTATTTCAAGAACAGAATGCTGCAATTTTCTCACTTTGTTACTGCTAGCAATGCAAATTTTCAAATAGCAAACAAATTCAAGTGCAAGATTTGGGGCTGGATCTCCTCCTGGGGAAATTTGGTTGCAACCATATGAATAATGTTACTGGGACAATGACAAGAGACTTAAATTCCTGAGAAGTCAGAGGTCATTTAGAAGTCTTTGGGCTTTTCAATCTTTTTCTCTTTAAGAATCCTTTGTCTTTAGGCCAGGTGTGGTGGCTGACACCAGTAATTCTAGCACTCTGGTCAGGAGTTCAAGAACCCCTGAGCAACAGCAAGACTCATCGCTACTAAAAAATAGAAAGAAATTAGCTTGACAACTAAAAATATATAGAAAAAAGTTAGCTGGGCAAGGTGGCACATGCCTATAGTCCCAGCTACTCAGGAGGCTGAGACAGGAGGATCGCTTGAGCCCAGGAGTTTGAGGTTGCTGTGAGCTAGGCTGACACTATGGCACTCTAGGCCGGGCAACAGAGTGAGACCCTGTGTCAAAAAAAAAAAAAAATCCTTTGTCTTTAAGGTCTTCGTAAGTGTTATTATAGAATAAGCGTGAGGTTTGCAGTCACACCTGGATTAGATTACCTAATAGTTGTGTGACCTTGGGCCGGCACTTAACCTTCCTAAGTCCCAGTTTCCTCACACATAAAACAGGGACAGGAACTCTGACTATGCAAGACTGCTGGGAAGATGAGATAACGCATGTAGAGAAACTACCATGGTACACAGTAGACTCTTCTCTGTTCCTTCAACCCTCCTTTCATATTTTAATCATGTCTAATATCATAAGACATGATATTAGCAGTAGAAAGGTCAGCAGTAGAAAATGAAATCCTTTTCATTTTGCAAACACCCCAAGAATTTTATCACTAAAGCTGTCATTTGCAGTCTCAAAAGGAGGTCTACATATTGAAACGTTCATTCAAGCTGCTCTGAAACAAAGTGGCATACGATGATGTCAGCTTCTCTGTTTCTACAGTCAACAATGTGTTTCTTGGTTCTTTCCTAATGGCTCCAAAATAAGTCTCTAGCTTCTGAAAAGATGGTGAATAAGAGGATATACTGGTTGATGGAACAATATTTCATTGTACAAGATTCTTCTTCACTTGTGAATATACAAGCCAGTGAGAAAGCCAGGTTTGTCTTTACAGGACCATCTGGTGACTGATACCTTGGGGGTGACAAGTAACAGGTAAAACTAGCAAGTGTTCTGGGCTTCTAACCTGCTGGCACAACATGGATCTTTGGTCTTTTATTTGGCAAAAACACTAGCATAATCCATCATCAGGGCTTGTTAAATTATACTTGACATAAACTAGATACCAATTACATTCAATATAAACAGTATTATAGATACCAGGTCCTATGTCATTCTACAGGTCAAAAGTCACCAAACAAGAATTCAGTGCACACTCTGAAGGAGACTCTCGAGAAGCCCTTGTCCAGGACACTTTCCAGGACATTTTCTTACACAACAGTTCTGAGGGAGCCTTGTGGGCTCACAAGATGACCTTCAAATGGCTTCTTCATCTCCTGACACATATGTATGTTTTAGGCCCCCAAACAAAAAATGACTCTAAACAGTGTCCTTATAGTCAGTGGGAAGCTGCCAAAGGGTTCTGAGCAGGGAAATTTGAAGGAGTAGAAGAAAGACAACATTATTTTATTTTTAAAAACTAAAACATATGATTTGATAGTGAAAGGGACAGGAATTTCTTTAACTCTGGTTCCTGCAAAATCATCAGTGACAGCCTCTTTCTCCTTGGGTGACTCTGCAACATTTGATACTTTGAGCACCACTTCTTTGCTGGGCTGTGTGAATTGACTCTGTATGTGCCTTCCTGCCTTTTAAACAGTTTGTCCCCTGCTCTGCTTTGCAGGAACCATGATTAGTACCATGGCGAGGACAATGCCTTTCCCCAGATGACTTCTAGCTCCTCCTCTTCCATTGTTCCTGCCTCTTTTCCTGTACTTGGTCCTCAGAGTTAAAGAAATTCCTGTCCCTTTCACTATCAAATCATATGTTTTAGTTTTTAAAAATAAAATAATGTTGTCTTTCTTCTACTCCTTCAAATTCACTCAAACTTCCCTTAAGCATAAAGGTAAATTGTTGGTTTACAATTAAAGACAACATTTAGGAGATGAAGATCAACAGGTATCTGGTATCAAGAATACCTGTGTTTATTTTAAGCCAGAATTAAAGAGTTAGATATAATGATGGGCCAATAAACATTTAACATGCTAGGAGAGGAGGAGTCTTGGTTTGCAGTGTTTTCCAATTTCCATGGTATAAATGCTCTGCAATGGCTGATTTCAGGCTACCCAATATGAAGTCACTGATGCAGAATTGGGGAGAGATGTGCTTGGCTGGCTCTCCTAAGTCGGTAGAAGCTGATCACTGAAAAAAGGCAATTCTTTAACAGTTAAAGGCCCTGGCATTAGAGACGAAATCAGCCAGAAGCAAAAGAATTTTTTTTTTTTTTTTTTTTTTTTCTTTTCAATAAAGCGCTGTCAGAAGAAAAGCAAAAGAATTTTGACAGGGATACGAAACGATAAAGTTTTAACAATTGGCTAGTAACACAATCTCACAGGTGATAACCTGCCTCTGGGATAAACTCGAATTTCTAACTGCAGTATGGCATGTCATCAAGTGCCCATTCTGTGTCAGATGCTGTCTTCAGCATGTTACATATGATCTGAGTTCTAGATCTGCAACTGTCTGGCTTTGTGACTTAAAAAAAAAATCACCAAACCATTTTGGGCTTGCTTCCTCATTGGAAAATAGAGAGAGGGCCATAACAGGATCATGTTTTCAAGTATGCCCCTAGGCCTGCGGTGACAGCTGGAGAAACTAGGCAGCCTGTAGCATAAATGTCACAACGGAAACCGGCCACGTGTACGTCAGGGCTCGTTACCTCTGCTTCAACCTAAACCGACTTTTATTTATTTTCCTTATCAGGATTCTGCTTAAGGATTCATTGGGAAAAAAAATTTTTTTTTTTAAACTACTTGACTTGATTTCTAAGATCCCCTCATTCTAGGATGCCAAATCCCTCCCGGCAGACTGAAAGCTGAAGAACAAAAATTTCTGATTATAAGTTTGCCACATAAGAGGTGCGTAGGTATGTGTCTCCTGAGAAGCAATCTTTCCTTACATATTACTGGAGTGGACAGTGACATCAAAATAATGAGTTTTTGATCTATGAATGCAGAAGGGCAAATCAGGATAGAAAGTTTTGCTTTTAACTGCGTAGGCATTAATATTAAGGAAACATCTGTCGTGACTGCAGAACATTAGCTCATGATTCATGAAGATCTCACACAGCACAACAGGCGAGAGAAGCTTCATGTGTAGCACATTAAATGAGAGGAGCTGAGACGAGGGTGGTTCCCAACTTCCAATCTCAGCCCCCATCAGCAACAAGATTTTTTTTAAAAGATTTAAACAAACAAATTTCCTTCATTTCCAACCAAGAATAGACAGCTCAACAAAGAATTCTATTATTATTATTTTGAGACAGAGTCTTGCTTTGCTAACCAGGCTAATGCAGTGGTGTCATCATAGCTCACAGCAACCTCAAACTACTGGGCTCAAGTAATCCTCCTGCCTTAGCCTCCTGAGTAGCTGGGATTATAGGCGTGCACCACCAAATCCAGCTAAGTTTTAAATTTTTTATTCAGATGGTGTCTCATTATTGCCCAGGCTAATCTCCAACTCCTGGCCTCAAGGAATCCTCCCACCTCAGCCTCCCAGAGTGCTAGGATTACAGACATGAGCCACTATGCCCAGCCTCAACAAAGAATTTTAAAAATTAGCTGGAGAAGAAAGTGTTAGCAGATATAGTTTCAGATGAAAATAAAATGATAAAGTAACAGATGAGAAATACTAAAAGCTTCAACTTTTGGGTGACATTTCTCCACAGGAGCTGAATTTTAAAGCAAATTCAAAGACAGCACTACCCAAACGAAAGTCTACATGCTCTTTCTCCCAGTATCCTCAGCTTGTTTGCTGCTGCTCATTTATGCTTATCTGCCTGCATTCATTTCGAGTCATTGCAATACTAAGAAACAGTGATTTGGGCCTTGGAAGAGAAGAGGGAGTAAGTAGCTCAGTACACAGATCCTCTCCCTCCAGCTCTGATGTCTTTTCACGGCTGCACAGGACATCTCATTAAGAAACCAAAAATAAAAAAACAAAAACAGATCACACTGCTGTGGGGTAGATATTTTAAATGGGCCTTCTGGACCTTTTTTTTTTCTTCCTTTTGATATCTGTCACTGAAGCTTTGATAACACCATGAGGATGACAATGGCACTGGAGGACAGAGGAACTGGGAAAACTCTTCTCAACTTACTTGGGGTGGCTGTGGATCCAAAGCCCCCGCTGGCCGAGCTGAATGGGTTTTTGTTGGCTGCATCCTGGCTGGGTTTCCCTCCAAGGCCACTGAAGAAACCTCCCCCTCTTCCAGTGTTTCCAGACCCAAACACGCTACCACTGGAAGAGGATGACTGCTGAAAAACAAAAGGGGCAGGAAGCAAGATAGGATGAGAGGTCATCGGAAAATGGCAGGCCACATCCGTGGGCAGGAGGTGCTCCCAGCTGGTACAAATGGAAAATATAAGAGAATTCTGATTAGTTCTGGTATGGATGCTCTAACGACCACAAAAGCAGCTAGACTCTGGACAGGGACTTCCTACAAATCAGAAGTTCTCAAGCTATTCTATGTTTGCAGTTCTCTGAAAACATGATTTATGGTAGGTGAGAACCTGCAATGCTTATCTGCCCTGCTGCCTGAAGTTTCTGACACAATGCCAGGAGCAGGAAACCAACTCCACAAGAGAGCCACCAAATAGAAAAGTTTAGAAACATTTAGAGGCTACTATGAGTACCACTTATTGTGATTCCTCCAGTGTTTGGCTGAACTCATCAGCAATGGATAAGTGATTTATATTGTCTTTCTCTCAATTTGAGCACTTTTATTTCATAATGACTTTCCCAGTGCTGCAGAAATAAGCTTAAATTAGCTCCACTGTTGAAATGATGACCACAGCTGAATTCTGTCCAAGTTCGTAAATCTTATGCTTAGAGGATAATGCTAACTTAGGGGCAGATGCTGACTCAAAAGCTGTATCAGGCACCAGACACTTGATTTCTGTTCGGAAACTAGTTCTTTAAGAACAATCAGTTCTACATTTCAGGGGCCACTCACATTAGCTAAGTGTGTTATCTCCTTGGCTGATAATGCAGAATATAAAGACAGGTTTTAGAAACGGGTTGCTGTGCACAGGAACTTATAGGAGCCCCCTTCAAACAGGGGACAGAGTGGTGGTGTTGGACTTCTACTGTAAAATGGGGATAATAAACTACCCACCTCAAAATGGTGAATGAATTAAATGAGTAAGAAACATAATACTCTTTAGAACAGTGCCTGAAATAGAATACATGATCAAAAAATGGTTGCTGTTCAGTATTTTAACAATAATAATGAACCAACAATCAAGCACTTTCTATGTGCTAGGCACTTTTCTAAGTACTTTCTAAGTAATCATTTAATCTTCACAAAAGTCAAACCTGTAGTGGGCCACTTCCAAAACATCGCCCCATCACCTCCCCTCCTCAGTCTGGTCTGAGCCACCTAAACCCAAACCTTTGCCTGGACTGTACAACTACTTAATTGGTCTCTGCTTCCACTATAGTCTCTGTTCACACAGCAGCTAGAGTACTACTGGAACTGGCAGTGAGATCCTTTTACCCCTTTTTATAAATTCTAAAAGACCCTACAGGATCTATCCCCTGTCTCTCTCACATCATCTTTTATCACCCTCTCCCTCACTCAGTACAGTCTGTCTTTCTTGCTTTGAACATGGCAAGCTTATTTTTTGCCTCATGGCAATGTACTTAATGTACTTGCTAGTCTACCTTTTTATTCCTTTATATTTCTCTAAAAAAAACCCCACCACAATAACAGTTCACTACAACCATTTAATGATGAGTAACAGCTAGGAATCCAATCCAGTCATAAAAGCGTAGGCTTTGATAAGTAGTAAACTGTCACTGAAAGGAAGAGAGACATGACAACTGATGCTTGTATGTAGAAGGATCAGATTGTTTGGCTGACTTCCATGTGTCAGGCTGAAACACAGGAAACTGCCAATATATGAATATTCTGCCCCACAAAAAACCAGCAATTTCAGATGGCTCAGCTTAATTTTAATAACGTGATTTGATAAAGGCTACCCATAGAAATGAATAAAGCAGATAATTAATATACTTCACTGAATTAAATATGAATTGATAGTTACTGCATCCTCATAAATGGGTGAGAATTCCATTCAATTTAACTGCGATATATAATAGGTTTTAAAACTTAAAATCATGGAAAATCTCAAATATGTACAAAAAGGAGACAGAAGAGTATAATGAACCCTCCACACACCCATCAGCCAGCCTTAACAGTGATCAGCTCATAGCCAGTCGGGTTTTATCTTTGCCCTCCATTTCCTCTCATGCTTTATTAGAATGAAGGGAATCTCAGACATCTTATCATTCGCATACTGATTTTCCAGTACGAATCTATAAAACTATAAACACAATACCATTACAACAGAAAAATTTAATAATTCCTTAATATCACTGAATAAGGAGTAAGTGTTCAAGATCCAGCCTCATGATATCGCCAAAAAAATCAAACTTGACTCTCATTAAGCCAAATACTTCACAGCAAGTAAAAGAGGACCAAGGACCAAGTTAATTTGGAAGGTACACCACAAGGATGTAGTCAGCAACGAGATCATGGGAAACTCCACAGGACAAATGACCAGCTCTGTTCAACAACTGAACCATGAGGAAAAATAAAAAAATGGAGAAACATGAGAGGGAAATCTACAGATAAAGGGACTTAAGAGACTGATCAACCAATCTCAATGTATGGCCCTTATCTGGTCCTGATTCAAACAAACAAAATGTAAAAAGAAAAGAGAGACATTCATGGGACTTCTTCAGAGAGGCATTTCCTGACCATCTAACTTAAACTAACTTCCCTGATTACTATCACAAGCTTCATTTCTTCATAGTACTCAACACTCTCTGAAATTAAAGACTGATCTCCTTCATCAAATAGAAGCTCTGTCTTACCACTAATTTCTACATGAATTATTAATTTGGACAGATTTTGGTTTCAGTCCTGGTTCTACAATTTATGAGCTATGTACTGCTCCTTAATAAAATATTAAATCTTCTGATCCATGAACATAGGATGTCTTTCCATCTACTTAGATCTTAATTTCTTTTCAACATTTTATAGTATTCATGAAATTATGTTTTCTTCTTTTTGATATCAGTCCCATTGGTCAGCTAGACACTGCTTAAGTTTTGTACTTCTTTTGTTAAATTTATTCTACCCCTCTCCTTCCAGGACTCTGATTACACATATGTTGGACTGCCTGATACTGCTGCACAGGTCACCAATACCCTGTCCAATTTTTTTCCAATCTGACCTTCACTTTGAATAATTTCTGTCGAAATGTCCTCTAGTTCAGTATTCTTCTGTAGTATTCACTCTGCTAAGCCTTTTTAAACATTGTTTATTTTACATACTGAATTTAAACATTAAATACAGATCAAGACTTTATTTTTTAAAATTTCATTTTTCTGCTGGAATTCCTTATTCGACTATACTTTCAATATTTTCCTGTAAATCCTTGAGGACAATAGTTATTTTAAAGTCTTTGTCTCTAGCTCAAATATCTGGGTCACCTATAGGTTGATTTTTGCTAATTTTTAAATTGTGGGTCCTCCCCCTTTTTGGTTGCTTTGTATGTTTCATAATTTTGGGGTGGGACTTACTGGACTTTATATATACAATAACAGTGGTGACTGAAGAACAATGTTTTTTCAGAGAGTGAGAGCTCTCTTTTATCTGTAGACTACAGTGAGGAGGTAATTATTCAGATTTTACTATGGGTTGATCTGGAACTGAGTCACAGAGGTAAGACTTAGCTCACTACTGGTTAGCCCAACAGTGTCTCTGGTTAGAGTTTAAGTTATTTGTCATATAAGTGTCTAAGCTTGGAGTCAGGAGGCAGCTGGGCTGCGGCATCACCTTTAGACCCAACAGTTCTGGGCCACAGGAGAATGGAAGACTGCAAATTCTGCTTTTTAATTTTACTTTTTTTCCCCTAGCAAAAGCAGGGCAGTGGGTAACAGGATATTTATGCCAAACAAATTATTGTTGCACTTGCAAGTCTTTCAGAACTCTGACTTTTTAAAAACAGCTCTATTGGGATACATATAATTCACATACCTACAAATCACTGATTTAAAGTATAAAACTCAATGGTTTTTGGTATGTCACTATCAATTTTTAGAAATTATGGTAAAATACATATAACATAAAACTTGCCATTTTAACCATTTTTAAGTGTACAATTCAGTAGCACTAATTACATTTGCAATGTTGTACAACCATCACCACCTATTTCTAAAATTTTCATTATCCCAAAGTGAAATTCTATAACCCTTAAGCAATAACTCCCCATTCCCTCCTCCTCAGTCCCTGATAACCTCTAATCTACTTTTCATCTCTATGAATTGAACTATTCTAGATATTTCATAAAAGTGGAATCATATAATAATTGTCCTTTTGTGGTTTATTTCACTTAGCATACTGTTTTTAAGATTCATCCATGTGTAGCATGAATCATAACTTTATTCCTTTTGATGACTGAGAAATATTTCATTGAATTCATATATCATTTTGTTTATCTGTTGACGAGTTGTTTCCACTTTTTTAGGCATGTGAATAATACTGCAATAAACACTGGCATACAAGTATCTGTTCCAGTTCCTTTCTTCAATTCCCTTGGGTATTCTATTAATACCTTGGAGTAGAACTGCTGGGTCATATGGTAGAAGTACTATGTTTAGCTTTTTGAGGAACCACCAAACTATAGAAGTTGCACAATTTTACATTCTCACCAGCAATGTATGAGGGCTCCAATTCCTCCATATCCTTGTTAATACTGGTTTGCTTATTATTTATTTATTTGACAGGGTCTTGCTCTGTTGCCTGGGCTAAAGTGCAGTGGCATCATCATAGCTCACTGCAACCTCAAACTCCTGGGTTCAAGCTATCCTCTTGCCTCAGGGGCCCTCCCCCCCAGGAACTGGGACTACAGGTGTGCCCGGCTAATTTTTTTCTATTTTAGGTAGATATAGGGTCACACTCTTGCTCAGGCTGGTCTCAAACTCCTGACCTCAAGTGATCCTCCCACCCGGACCTCCGAAAGTGCAAGGATTACAGGCATGAGCCACCACATCTAGCCTGCTTTATTTTTTAAATTACAGTCATCCCAGTGGGTATGAAGTGGTATCTCACTGTAGTTTCGATTTTCATTTCCTTAATGTTTAATGTTATTCATCATCTTTTCATGTGCTTACTGGTCATTTATTTTGCTTGACCCCATTGTTGGCAATAGCTTCTTCTCCAGTAAGTAAATTTTTTTCAATCTTT